AGGCCATAGCTGGGAGCAGTCCCCAAAGTGGAAGTGAACCTCAGGGGAGAACATGGAATTCTCCTGTGGTGTGGGTAAAAGAACTTCTATCCATCGCAAAGTTAGCTTTGCTCATATTTAATTATGGCTTAAGAGGCACTTTGTAAGCAAGCAGAGTAAAGGGGTATACTGAAAAATTTTGCTAATAGAGGTTCATGGTCAAAACATTTTGAAGACTGCACTATATAATAATTCCAGAGGTGGTAAAAAGTATCATGGACATGACGTCAACTCTTGATTAGACCTGGGGCAGAATCCCAGCTCTATTCCTTATTAGCTGTCTCATCTTGAATTTTAAATAAATAGCTTTATGCCTGCTTCTTTAGTGGCAAAAGTGGAATCGAACAATATGTATCTTTAGAGGTCACGGTGAAGATGAAACAGGATGAAGCATGATGGCAAGCTGTGTGTACAATGATTCCCAGTGATTTTCACCTTTTTGTATTTCCACCCTTGTGCATTTCCTCTCCTTGAGTATATAGGGTGACTTACACTGGCAGTGAGATAACACTTCTATCAAGAAGACTGATTTCCCTCTAACATTTCCTCTTCTTGCATATCTGCCCTACTGGTGAAGTCAATTTGGCAAGGAGCTGAGGGTGGTTTCTGGACAGTGACCAGGGAGGAATTGAGAACCACTGAGCAATACCCAGAAGGAACTCCGTGCTAACAATACTCATACCAGTGAGCTTGGAAGTGGATCTTCCTCAGTCCAGCCTTTGGAACATATTCCCATCTTGGCTGATTCTTTGTATATTGTGGGAAATCCAGTGACAGAGAACCAAGGTCCAAGTAAACGTGTTCAAAGATTCTGGACTCATGAAGACTAAGGTGATAAATGTAATTCTTCTAAGCCTCTAAATTTTGGAGTGATTTGTAATCCAGCAGACAGTATTCCTCTCACTTCATAATCACGCAACATAGAGGTTTAGTAAGCGTTGGGATGTCATATTACATGATTGCCAGATGGCTGTGTCCTTAGCTATAGTGGACATCACTGACCAATCACAAAATACCTTTTCCTGCTGACCCCACAGGCGGCCTCAGACTCCTTCTTAATAGAGTTCCAGGAAGCTATCAATAGCTCAGATGCAACTTATGTGCCAACTATGATTGAGTGAAAATCTTATAGCTTCATTTTCTCTTATGAGTAATAGTTATTTAGTAGAAGTTCTATAAATCAACATGAACTGTTTTCTTTGTGTAACACAGGAATGCTGTGATCTATTAAAGTAATGTATTTTTAGTTAATGTCTACTATAGATTTGTTGGTTAGAGCAAAGGTTTTTTGGAAACAGGACAATCTCAGGAAGAATGATCCCAAGGGACCTTTAAATCTACAATGTGCCTGGCCACATACTGAGCACTTCAATGTACAGTCTGATTCATTAGACCTGGAGTGGGGCCTGGGCATTTTGCATTTCTAAGGAGCTATTAGGTAATATTAATGCTCTTGGTCTCCAAAGTTTACTTGGAAGAGTCAAGTAGTCTGGCTCCTCTTTCAGGAGAACTGAAAGATATCTAGGGTCAAGACTACACTAAATCCAAGGTCTTGGGATTGTCAGTTGGGGATAGATACTGGATATCTCTCTTCAGCTAGCTCTTTTGTCGGCACAGACCTGAAGACAGACATTCAGTGAGTCAGGGCAATGACAACTACCCTCACTGCCCTGTGAAGGATGACATGAATCCAAGAAATTTAGACAAAATCCTGAATTATAGGACACATTTCTGGCGATAGGAAAAGCAAATAATTATCATTGATGGAAAAAAAAATATTTCATCTTTCTGAAGTGTTTTGAAACAAATCAAATCAACAGCAGCACTATAGAGGCCATATGCTTTGAAAACCAAGTCACATCCCTGAGTGCAGGCCTTTTTGGATTTTCATAATCTCACAGAATCTCTACTTGTTTAAAAAGAGGGAAGGTAAAAAGAAACCAAATGCTGTTTTTATGAAATAGGTAGACCCTAGGGTCAAGGGTTGAGTGAATTATGTTAAACCCCTGGCTGGGCCTGAAAGGGATGGTCCATTAAAACAACCTGCTTCTGGCCCTCCCTGGTGGCGCAGTGGGCTAAAGCACAGCACTGAGAAGCTAAAGCCACTTCTGCATGAGTTTGATCCCTGCCTGCCCCGGAGGAGATCCACATGGCGCCGCAGACCTTTTCTGACCCGCCCGCTGCTCCCCTCAGCAGTGTACTTTGTCGATCTGCTTGTTCTGCTCCCCACTCTGTCTCTGGTGAAGCCTCTTGCCACCTCTGAGCCTCTGGCCTGTACCCCAGTTCTGTATGAACAAATAAATAAATCTTTAAAAAAAAACCAAAACAAAACCTGCTTCTTAGGCAGAGCCACTTTTGCCCTTATATAGTGGAGTAATGGCTGGCATAAGGCCCTCTATGTCCACTGTAGTATGATGAAAAGTGTAGCAGACAGAAGTGACAGGAGGGGCTAGATGAGATGATTAGGAAGAAAACAGAATGCCTAGCTGCTTCCTTCTTTCAGAACATCCTTTTGAATCCCTTTGCACCATGAAATAGCTTTTTATAATTCATTCACCCTTTCACCACCAAAATACATCCACACAGTAATGTATGTTGGACACTCAAGATACATTATTGAGCAGCAAGAGTCACCAGCTGTGTCTCCTCATAGTAAGATAAAGGAGAGGCGGACATTCCCAAGTTACACATACAAAACCCCATCATTGTAGTAACAGTGATTCCCTCATTGTTTCATGATAGCACCAGGTAAAAATGTGGCAAAAGCAAAGGTCACATTTAGTGCACATTGTCCCCATTTTCTTCTACCTGTCACTTACTCTGTTCCTTCTCTAGGACTCAAAGCCTTACAGGCATATCCAGAGCCCAAAGGGGCTGTGGGCCAAGACTCTTGGTTCTCCCCTTCATACAGCTGCTGACCTCCCACTGACCTGGCTCTCGCCTTTCTAGAACTTGACTACAGAGATGTCCACATGTGTGCAGACATGTCTTTGGGCTTGTCAATATTTGGTATGATTTAAAATAAAATAAACTGGTAGTAAGGAAAAAGCCTTATAACAGGAAATTTAGTAAATAAGCATTCATAGTGTTTTGCCATATTGATCAATGGTAAAAACAAACAAACAAAAAAACAAACAAAAAAACCACACACACACAGAGCACTGGGAAGATAGCCAGAATGGACTGTTGAGTTGAAAACAAAACAAAACAGGTTATAGAAGAGTCTGTAGCAAAGGAACTCCCTTCTGGAACAATGTGTATATGTTTATGCATAATATGTATCTCGCCATTTGTAGACCCCCACACACATGCAATTGTAAAGCAGCTTTGGGAGACCTCTCTCCATGCATACGCACAATTGTATCCTGTGTCTGCCTTCTTTGAGGACAGCTGATGAACTTCACTTGCCATGTATCAGCATAGCTTCCGAGTCCCTCTTAGTCAAGGAGCCCATTCTACTGTAGCTGAGACCCTCGAAGTCCAAGTCAGGGGTGGGATAGTTATTTAAGCAGATCAACGAGAATGAGATCTGAGGGCCAAAAAATCTTTGCACCCCTCTTCAGACACTCCCTACCACTATTCACATGGGAGACACACACAGCTCCCAGTGACCCTCAGAACCAAGTGGAGTCAACTGAAGAAGCGTTATCACCTCTGCTATGCAAAGCAATTGCTTACACTTGAGTGATGGTAGTCAGTGCTCAGGACAATGGACTTGAGAGTCGGTCCAACTGCATGAGCACCTACTGGTCATTTTCAGACATTAATGCAAATTCTTTAGGTAAGGAAATTGGCTCTTAGCTTTTCTAATCCTGTTGAGTTCTTTTCAGATAAGTAGAAGGTTTTACCAAACACTCGGTATCTATAGAGTCATGCCTGTCTCTGTGAAGATCCTGACAAAAAGTCAGATTAGATTAGCAATGCATATTTAATGCTGCTTTACAGTTAGTGTTTTTTTGAAGTTGCCAGTGATGTTTACTCTTTGAGGGGGAGGTTATACTTACTCAAATTGGAGAATAAATATATTCTGCCTATGGTAAAGGATAATGCTTTGGGTTTCATTCCATGCTCAAAAGTACCCCTAAATATTTCTTTAATTTTTGTCAGTGACTTATGGGGAAGGTAGGCAAGCAGACCTTATTCTGCAGAGGTGAAGTATATGACTTTTTGTACCTTAGGTTCCTGCCCCAGCTATCATCTTAGAGGAGACATCACTGAGATTAGTCTAGTATCACCTAATAGTCACTACTGCTGGGAACCTTTATGACAACTGTTCATCCTTTCCTTCTCCTTTTTTAACAAGGCCTTAAGTTTGTTCAGATTCTTATGCTGCTTTATGTAACTGCATGCATTTGAAGACCAGGGACACACTTCCAACTCCAGGAAGGGCTCATGGCCCATCTAAATCCACCACAGAGGCCCGTCAGCTTTTCCAGAGACTGTGTATGTCACACATACCTTTGGCCAATGCATAGCAGTGAAAGCCTGCTGAGGTTCTAGAAAGGCTGAAAAAATGAGGCAATAAAAGAGACAACCCACTGATGATGTCAGAAACAGATCTTGGTAATTTTTTTGAGTTACTCAATCATTGAGCTATGGGCCTGTTCTACTTTGGGACTGGCTGCTGAAAGAGCAAATAACAATTTTCTTAAAAGCAATGCTTGCAGTCAGGAACACATTTGAATGATTTGAATCTATGTTGCTCTGGGGAGTATGTCTATATGTTTATTTATTTATATTTATATATGCATGTAAATTGGAGAAGCAGTCTGCACATGGTCAAAGAGTAATGCCTGTTAGACAAAAGTCAAGTCATGTACTTGGTGTCACATTTCTCCAAGAAGCCACTGGATATTTGTTTCATTGGGTTGGCGGATGGAATGGTCATGTTATAAAACTCATTTTGGCATCAGAAAGGTGCCCATATCAGAGAACCAAAGAAAACTGGAAAACCTACTTACTATTCACTCTGCTTCTTTCATTGCAGAAAGTATCACCGGTCCCAATCTTCCTATCAAAGCAAGGCTGCAAGACATAGGAGAGAAAATAAACACAAACTATGCAATCTCATTTTGGCATTAGGCAGTAATCAAGCAATTTGCTCATTTCTCTCCAGCTGGATGGCTCCGGCTTTAAACAAACCCCATAGGTCAGACTGGACATTTTCTCAGTAAGTCATCTCAAAGGAATAAACAGTGTTTATTCCTACCAGGGAACCAGATCTACCATTTTATATGCCACCTTCTGAATGCACAGCCTGTTCCCAGAGGTGCTGAGATGGACACCTAATTGTCCCGTGAAATGTGTCCTGGCCTGTCCACACAGTGCCTTATCCCACTGGCTCAGGAGTGGGCACAAGAGCTAGTTCAGGCCATGGCCTGTCAGTCCTGAAACTCACGAGCAGCACAGCCTTCCTGCTGCAGAAAGAATGGCCAGGATGCACAGCTGAACTGCTGGCCTCAGCACCGTGGGTCTGCTATTCTAAGCCACCTGTTGGCTACTATTTCGTTACCTGCGGTTCTATTCCTAAGCAAGGTCAGAACTGCCTGGTCAATTAGTTATAGGAGCTCAACCTGCAAGATGCCTTTCAAACTGATCACTCTGGGAAGGCTATGTCATGAGGTATGACCCAGAACTTGCTGGGGGTCATGGACCTATGTGTGACAAGGGACCCCAGAAGCTGATCAGTGGAATGCCCTGTTGATAAGAGTGAAGCCTGCTGGGGGATCTAGAGCTTGATCTCAACGCCAATATTGAGCCATCCAGCAGATGAGAAGTACCTGGAGGGGGCACTCATAATCCTTAACACTATCGATGGCAGTTACACCCTTCTGTTCCTTTTTCCTCCTTCCCCTCACCAATGATGTGTCTGATTATTTTATCAATAAAAGGGCCCGGATCTTGGTCTTCAGCAGCTTCCCTCATTGTGCAGCCTGCTCCATGACTCCTGTTTCTTTATCAATGCGGGTTACAGGCATAATATGACACCACAACAGACTGTGGGGATGAGTGACAGGGGCGAGCCTGCCAGTATCTCGGCATCTGGATCCAGCCATGATGGAGATACTTGAACCTTCCAGTTGTGCGAACCAGTACATACCCCTTTTTTTTCTTAAGCCATATTGGTTTTTTTTTTTTTTTTATGTCTCAGTCAATCAAAATTCTCACTAATACAAGAAGGGAGGACAGGCGGCTTAATTCTCACCTTACAGGGAACAGAATGGAAGCTCAGAGAGCTCCTTCCTGACTAGCCCCTGGCCTACTGCTCAGTGTTCACTAGGGTAAAATGGACAAAGTGGACAGCACTAACTTTAAACATCTCTGCTTGGAGAAAATGCAGTGGTCTCCTAGGAGACTGCCAAGGGAGATGGTATATGTTATTCTAGCAAAGCACAGTTAGCTTTGTGCACATATGTGCATGTGTGTGCATACACTCTAAAAGGACAAGCGGCAGACATTTTAGAATTGGGCAGAAGATGGCCTCATGCCAAGGACTGGAGCTGGCTTTGCATGCAGCCCTCACTCCAGGGACAGCCACTCTCAGTGATCATGGACAATCTCTGCTCCTGCTGACGGGGTCACCTCTGCACCAGCCCTGTCTGCTGGGCCACGGCTGGACTGACTGCATATTCTCCACCCAGTTGAGCAAGTCCACTAAGCAGAAGTCACAGTGAGGAAGCCCACAGCCCAAACCCCACCTTTCTGTGTTTCACTTGACTCACATTAAGAAAATTTCATCTCTAGTTAAACATTAGACAGTTTTACAAAATTCCACGTAACTTTATGCTTATCATTTAAGGTATATAAAAACTTTGAGGTCAAGTTTCACTTAAAAAAAATCACAAGGAATTCATCAACACCACATACCTGCATGTGGTGACATGGGTGGGGGCCCAGGAGTTTTTGGGTCCCTTTAGACACATTTGCTTCCTTTATCATGGTCTCCTGGCATCTGCATTTAGCCCCTACCCTAAACTCCTCTTGCCCTCGGGTGGCCGGACCATGTCTGTAAGAGCTTATTTGCTGCTCAGTCCTTGCCCCATCTCCTGACTCTCCATAATAAACAACAGTAGTAGCCTGTGCAATTTCATTGTCCTCCTGCATTTTATGTTTCCTGATTCTTGATGTATCTTCCAAATCCCATGAAAAAAATGAGGAATTCCTCATTTAAAGTAGAAAAGATAGTTTTATCAAAGTTCTTGTGAAAATGAAGCTGCCACATTTCCTATGAGGACAGGAGGGGACTAGGTGGGGCCATCAACTAGAGACTGGACAAGGCAGTAGATGGTGCTATAGTGACCTGTGCAGTGATGTCACCTGCTGCCCGTCTCCCCATCCTTCAGGAAGGTGAGCTAATTCAGTAGTTTTAAACTGGTGTCACAGGTCAGATCCAGTCAACAGATATTTTTTCTTGTATTTATTATCCCGATAGCAAAAAAGGATATGTCAAGTAAGAATCTAGATTACAGACATCTCAGATACTAGCTAGTTACAACCAGCTCTGAACGACAATGGGTAGAGGGGGTTCCAGACTCCGTTCAGTCCTTATCCACTTACTGGAGGGTACCTCCCTCCCTGCCACACACCTGCTTAATTCATCGATGTCCCTTCCCTCATAGGCATCTATTCTCGTTTGAATTCACCTTCAGTGACCCATCAGTCTTAATTTTATGAGTGGAGACTAGTGGCGGGAGAGAAGAGATGGGCTGGTGAAGAGAAGCATGCACTGAGCAAAAACAAAAGAGGTTGCAGCCTTCCAGTAAACCCTAACGCATCACTTGTCCTCCCCACTTGGCCCAGAGTTGAAACAGCAAGACGCCCAGGCCTTTGTGCAGGCCCCACGACATGGTTAAACCTGAAAAGGCAACAGCCTGGTTTTGAAAGTAGCAGAAATAGTCTTCCGTTGGGGTTGCTAGCTGATTCTCTAAGTAATTTGCAATTCAAGTGTCTCTTTGTTTTGTATGAAAATTTGCTGCTATTTGGAAAGTGGAGAAGAGCTAAATTGCATCCTGCTGGTTTTACTTTGACTGTATCAAAAAAGAAACTGTTAATCTGGTTCCATAATTAACTTTCCTGTTCTAAAAAGGCCCTGGGAGAGAGTCCAGAGAATGGCTGTCAACTCCCTGCTTCTCTTCTCAATAACTCCTTTCAACAGGGTGCCCCAAAAGGAGAATGAATCCAGGTGGGCAGTGGTCTTGATTTTCTCTTATTTTGATTTTTCTTCCCCTTGATTGTCATCCAGCCAGTTAGTGAGTTCTCACTGTGGATCAGACACTGACTGTGCTGACCTGAGGGAAGGTGACCACTAGAAAGAGATATTCCTGTAGAGTTGCCAGAGAACATAAGTTAAACTTTCCACTGTCCTCCATCCAACCATGGCACTGTCTGTCTTGTCTGTTCACAATGTGTCTGTTCACCATGCTGGAACAGTCACTGGTATATGAGAAATGAAAAAGTGACTTCAACAGCAGCCTGGAACTTGAAGAGATGACTTCTAAGCAGGGCCATATGAGTTGACTTAGTGGAGAAGATGGTATTTACATTTCTTTGGCCCTGCTGGTATCTATGTGCATGCATGCATGTGTGCCTATACTATCACGTGTATAAAATTCTGGAGGGACAAGGCAATTGGCAAAGCAAAGGCACGTGGGCTGAAAATTAGGTTTGATGATCCATGGGAAGTCCCACTGGCACATGAAGAGCTAACATCCATTGACTACTGAGAACTGCAGTGAGCACTTATGTCTGTTATTGCAATGAAACCTAAGTCAAGGAGTGATTATTGGTGGCATGCAACAGACAGGAAGTAAACTCAGGTAAGTTCCAGGGAACACACTGGCAGGATAAATGGCAGGATTGATGTGTGATGTCCCAGCATAATCTTTTCTGCTGATGGGAAGACCACACTGTTCCATGGGAAAAAGATGAAGCCGGACTTTGGTGTCTACCAGTTACTCAATTATCACATTTGTTTATTCCTGCAAATATGTATGTGTTAGTACTCTGTGCAAAACAGCACTTTGAATGCTGGGGGCAAAAAGAAAAGGACAGATGAGGTCCTGTCCTCCTGGAAGTTATGTTCCAATGACCTCATGGCCAGGGTCCCTCCCACAACGTGCATGCAGGAGAAAGCACATTGATCAAGTCACAATGTGTATCTAAGGAGAATTATGCTAAATCACATGACCTTTTCCCAGGTCCATACCCAGAATTTGGATGTTCCTTGCAACCAAGAACACATCTTAAGGGTTAGAATTCCCACTTTTGAGTTTTCTTTGAATTGATATTTGTTCCCTCTTGTTTCTTCTTGAAATTATGAGACACTCCTACATGATCCTATCTTCACATCTAACCTGAATGAACCTGTAAGGATCTTGCTCTTTTCATACCTTTCAGCAGACCTTACTAATGTTTCAAAGCTGATCCAGGTTGTGACTTAGAGAAAAGCTGGAGACAGACCCTATTGTCAGCCCTGATCGTCACTCTATTCCTCCTGAGAAAGTCACAGTGATCATTAATTTAGTCTGGCCACTAAAATATCAGCTAATTGTCTCTTTGGAGATGATGCATCACCCCCTGAGATATATGGGAGATTAGGCAAAGGCACTGCACTATTCCTAAAAAGTAGAGCTATGATTCCTGCTGTGTAAAGGCTATACAGAAGAACAAAATCCCAGGGCAAACTGGAGGAGGACAGTGGACCAAGACCTAAAATTAACAGGATAATGAAGGTGCCAAGGGAATTTCATATTCTTTAACTATGGCAGGTAGAACAATGGCCCCCAGAGATGCTAACACTCTAGTCCCTGCAACTTGTCAGTGTGTTACAAACAGGCAAAAGGAACTTTGCAGATGGAATTAAAATTACAACCAGTAATTAGGCAAGGAGATTATCCCAGATCACTGGGGTAGGCCCATGGTAATAACATGCACTAAAGGCAGAAGAGGGAGACAGAAGGACTGACTGGACAGATGTGAGGTAAAAAAAGAGGTATAGAGATCTGAGGCATGA